AATTGAATTCTATTTGACAGAATTTGTATACGAATTCACATGGGAATATAAATTCATTTCATATTGATCTACAAATTTATTGTCCTTCCAAATTAGAGACATTTTCATATCCCCTGATTTCTATGAAATGATATATACGTTCTTGGTCAATATTGGAAAAAATAACAGGTTGTGATGTTTGTCATTCTGCTTGTGATTCATAGAAATAATATTTTAGGTTCCCAACACAGGATATGAGTTTTTGATCAGAGTAAAATTCTTCGACTATTTGCATATGTCTGTATGTCAGCCTGTGGTAATCGGTTTTTTAAAAGGGTCAACTTTGATGGTTATTAAACACAAATAACATAAAAATGATGTTAACTTACATATTTTTGAAGGACATTTATATTATTTTTTATACCCTCCATCGTAATATGGAGGGTATATTAAATTTGTCGTTCCGTTTGTAACACCTCGAAATATACATTTTAGACCCTACAAAATATATACAATCATGATCAGCATAAAATTCTATTTCAATTTAGCGATGTCCGCCCGTCTGTGGAAATCGCTCTAGCTTCCGTTTTGGTATTGCCTCCATATAACGGTACCTCCCGATAATCGGTATTTTGATGATTTTAGTTACATTATTCACTGTTTCTTTTATTCAAGTTTCGCAGGTCCACGTCGTCGTTGTGACTCTAATATAACGGCAACATTCGGTATTTTTAAGATTTAAACAGAATTTTTAACGGATTTTATTTTTTCGAAAATTGCCAAATTCGTTCCAAATGGTGGAGGGTATTCAAAGTTCTGTCAGGCCGAACTTACAGCTCTTTTACTTGTTTCATATTAAAATTAATCATCAAATATATCTCCGATTTGTCTGATCAAAATATTAATTTTTACCAACGAAGCTGTTTTGAAAACAGAAAATTTTAAATTGAAAATTTAAAATTTCAAGATACCAATTATTTCTCACTCTGTAAAGAGAGGAAAAAAACACTTTCAATATTTTGTTATTTCAAAACACATACAATCGCAAAAAAAAATTTAGGCTCTCTGCCTAGCCCTGCTCTACAATATTTGTGTTATTTACCAAATAAATATTTTATTTGCTTTGGTGTTACATTTACAATTTAAACAGCAGAAAAAAATACAAATACCTATCTATTACAACAAATACAAGAACATAACTAAAAAATAAGCATACAACCTACCACAACAACAACTACTACTACTACAATAAAATTATTCAAATTGGTACAACAATAGAATGGATACAAAATCAAAAGAAAAAAACAGAAACCAACCTATTTTAGTAATAAATATTTAAAAACAACAACAGCAGAAAAAATGCAACCACAAATTATGTTTATAATTATATAAACAAAACTAAAAAACAAACCAAATTATGAGTACTCTTTTATTTATGAATAAAACATTTGGTAAGTACAGGATAAATTATATTTTTATTTCATCCTAGATTATTAAGAAGAAAGATCATAGATCTCTCTGTTACAAAACGCAGAGAAAGAGCAAGAGAGAGAGTTCCTTAGTTGACCAGAGAACAAACACTTTCATAGATGTGTACGGCTCTGGGAGAGTTAATGCATGAAGATCATAGACAAATGAAAATATAGACAACGAAAAGTTAGTTTTGTCTTTTTTTCCAGGTGGCTCTCATCATGTTTTGCATAGTCAACATGCTGATTTACGCGTTCAAGCCACTCGACTTCGAAAACACATTTTATCGTTTTTCAAGAATTTCACTGGAATATTCCCATATTTTTCGATGTCATCACGTTCTTTTCACATTTCTTTTATTATGAAATAATTTTCAACTGGCAAATATCCTACAGTTTTTGTTATTTTTAACGATTTAGAATTGAGTGACTTCAATATTCCCACTCAAACTCCTGAAACGATATGAACGACATCTGCTGATTCGATTTTTTCGAAGATAAACGGTGAGAGCATTTCGTTGTCTATATTTTCATTTGTCTATGTGAAGATAAACACAAAATAAGAAGAAGCATTTAGCTATTCACACAGGTCGAGCAACAAATGGATTTGGTTAATAAATAACTGTGTTTGGGGGAATAAAACCATAAAACCGAATGAAAATCAGAAAAAATTATTATGAAAATCGTAGATTTGGTAGAGGTCTTAGCAAAATTATAAAGGATAATCTCATGCTAACATATGGTATACAATTTTTTCCATAATATTTCATCCAAGTTTCAAAATAAAAAAGTCCTTCTTTGAAGTGATATCCACATGTGTGCAGTGGCAAAAATATAATATTACATATACAGGGTGAAATGAAAAAACTGCAACCAACTTCAAACTGCTGTCATTTCAAAGCCACTCGTCCGACAGCTGTTAAAATGATTCCAGTGACAGCTCATTGTATTGTTTATATGCGTGCAAAAGCATTTTGGTGATAATTTTCCAGAAAAAAATTATACGTCATGGAATTCAAGCGTGATAGTGTGTTTCTTTATATTTGGCTGGAAAACCACCAACCAGCATTTAAATGTGAACAAATCGTTTGTGCCTCGTAACATCGCTCGTTACCGTGGTACTGGTAGCACGACGTCAAGGAAGTGGACGGAAGAAAACTGCAACATCAGCAGAAATGGTTCGAAAAGTAAAGAAGCGACTTGATTGAAACCCGCGTAGCAGTGGCCGAAAAATGGCTCGTGAGCTGACAATATCGCAATATTCCATTCGGCAAATATTGAAAAATAAGCTCGGGCATAAAGCCATTGAAATTCCAAAAAGTGCAAGAACTTACACCGCAACAGAAAGAAAATAGACTCAAAAGAGCTAAAGAGTTGCTTCGCGTGGCCGAAAGTGGTGAACTGCCGAATTTGGCTTTCTCCGATGAAAAAACTTTTTTGTCCAGCAGTTTGTAAACAAACAAAATGATCGTGTTTGCTTGCTAGAGAGGTCAGCTGAAAATGTGCACCTTCGGTTGGCCACCAGAACTCAAGCGCCGGCCATGGTGATTCTGTGGGCCGCCATACCTGCCGATGATCACTCTCCGCTCGTATTAATCAACCGTGGCATCAAAATAAATGCCGCATATTATCGCGAAAATATTCTGGAGGGTGCATTAAAGCCTAGGGCATGCAAACATTTTCGGCCGCAGACTTTGGACATTCCAACAGGACTCAGCATCATCGCATTTAGCACACGCCACACAAGAATGGTTACAAAATGAGTTTCATCGCTTCATTTCCAGCGCACAATGGCCACAAAAATCTCCGGATACCAATCTGTTGGACTATTGTATCTGGAGTATTTTGGAAAGCAAGGTTGGCACTAAAACATACCAAAGTGTCGATCACCTCAAGCAAGCGCTTAGCCTGTATTGGTCCAAAATACCGCAGAGTGACATTCGCGCATCGACGGTTTCATTGGCCGTTTGAAGGCCATAATTCGTGCAAAAGGTGACCAATTCAAACCAATCTAAAATTATTTTAAAATTTGATGCTAAAAAAATATATATAAAAATTATGGCGTTTGACTTTGTTGCAGTGTTTTTATCTCACCCTGTAAATATGTGTATATAAAAATATCCTAGGGCAACCCCAACAATTTTTTGTAAATGTCAAAAAATTAAATTAACAAACTGAAAAATCAATATACACACAATAATTTTCGTTCTGCATACATTCTTTTTCATAAAAAATTGGTAAAAATTCTAACGTCTGCATTAAAAAGTCTCCCGCGGATTATGTACAGGCCTGAAAGTGAAGTGGAATTGTTGCAAAAAATACAACATTTTGAACAAATGCCGAGAAAACGTGGAGGTGATGAGGTAGGTCTCAAGATTTAGTTAAAAAAAAAAATAAACAAATTAATTATTTTTTTAATTAACGGAAATTATCGTTAGATTACAATAATTCATAAAAGGCCAGCAATTTAATTTAATCTCGTACAATGAATCGTCAATCATATGATGAAATGCAACTCTGTGTGGACAAAAGCCATTTCTGTTATGTTAAGTTTTCATAGTCCTTAGCTTTTGCATGGGAACAAATATGAAGCAATCAGCAATTACTAACGAAATCACCTTTAATGCAGTAAATTTCAGATTCAAACAAGAAAAAACACCTTTAGGGTTGGCCGGACCATCCATCCACTTTCGTGAGAATAATTTTAACACCTAAAAAGTAACCAAAGATTGGCAGTAATGATATTCCGGGTGTTAGGAAACCTCTGGTCGCATATTAAAAATTCTACTGACCCATTGAGTCAAGTTACACCCACTTTGGTAGAAAAACGGCACTTAGAATATTTAAAATCGACCCGTACCCCCTTTTTCAAATTTTGGACTGAATTATTTTATATGCAGTTATTTCAGAAGTTCTACCAATTTTCAAGTATAAATCAAAGACCATAAAATATATAATACTCCAAAAAATCAAATTTCAACTAAATTGGTTGAAAATTGCGACCACAGCCTCCGAAATATTGAAGAAGTGAACTAACCTTAAATATTTTTTGAGTAGTCGGAATATCAAATAACTAAGGGTTGGCCAAAAATTAGGGGTATAGTTCATCGGATGAAGGTGTTGTAAGCCCTACATTTTATGATTTTCTCATTTGGTCTTTAATGTGTACACAACATGAATTCTCCTACGCCATACGACAGCGCGCTAGCAATTAGCCTCTCTCACATAACTCAACAACCGTCACTCGCGTCGCATGTGATTGTTTTTCTGCTCAGACATTTTCACAGCTGCCAGCTTCTTTTTATAAGAAAATTATAGAGAAAAGTTGTAGTGTGCGTGTTGCGCAAAAAAAAAAATATTCCTTTACCGAAAAAGAAAAGGAATAATTAATTGGACTCAATAATTAAACAAAAAGAAAACAAATCCAATTGGACAAAGCATTGTGTGTGTTTGTGTGTTATTAACGAATTTATCGATTCAGTTTGCTCACAAAAAGTCGCCTTTTGTGAGCTCTTCGACCCGACGAAAAGAAAAAGAGTGTGTTTTTATTGATTTTCCGGGTGTCTTTGTGACACAATACAAACAGCCAAAGTGGATAACGTAAAGATTGAAGATTTGGTGGACTCCGATCCCGATATCGAGTTTATTGAAAAGGACAGCGGCATGTCTTCGTTAGGCGGTAGCAAAGATGAAACTCCCGAAAGAAAGACTGTGGCCACTGTAAGCACGACAATTTGACCTTATCCCCACCTTATTGCATGTTGTTTTTCCTTTTTCTGTGTGATATCAATCGTTATTTTTTTTTTACTTCTTTTCAGACCAATGAACCCACAGTAACAGAGGAAAATTATGATGATGTAAGTAATTGAAAATTAAAATTTTATAAAATCTTAATTAGTTTCATAAATAATTGTGGAATTTTACAACGATTTTTGTATGGTTTCTTATTCTTGATTAGTTTTGCTTGCACATAACCTCATTTTGCGTAATAGGCAGGCACTAGTGTTTTCGGTTGTCGGTATGGGATTTCTGTGCCCAACAACATTGTTTATATCTGTGTCATGTTGAGATAGTGGGGGAAAATTTTATACTTTGCAAGAATGGTAATATTTGACCTACATAAGTTTATGTACTTACCTACAATAGCCTATATGTACCTTAATTAAATTTCTTTTAATTTCAGAATCGTTTTTCAACTTGAAGCAATGTTTAAAACGAAATTTTGATTTTCACTCCGACAAGTCTCAGTGCGTATGCGGAACATTTGTCTATTGTAGCTTTTGAATCATAGGGAGGTTACCAATAAAGCCGTCATTCCCCCATGGCTTTATATAGCCTTTGAGTCATATGGAGGTTATTAATTAAGTTGTCAGGCAGCTGGATTGTAGCCCAGTCAGTTACAGTAGCGCTGTTAGTATTGCCAAAAAAAAAAAAAGATTTTCAATATCCATTTCAATCATTTCTATTCTAGAATTAAATTTTTCATTAGTTCGTACACCCCATGGTGTCTTACAGATTTTCCTATTGAACTAACACCAGCCTAATTGTATGAAACCGAACAGGGACCTACAGCGAAATACATTTCGAAACCACTTCAGATGACCGAAATGGCAAATAATTGACTTTTCTTTATAAAATATTCAATGGCTGACAGAAGAGTAGTTCATGCCCCAAAATTTGTACCACAATTTCACACAAGAAAGAGGATTTTACCTGTTTTTCAATACACCCAAACTTTATTTGGCATAAGTTGAGTTTAGGGGCTATGCTTGGATTGACCTGAAAATTTTACCGCAGGTAGGTATTTGTAACCTGATTACGGCAATATAATTTTTTTGTGGGGGAAATACCCGGTTACCCGGTTATTCGACCCAAAAGTTCGGATACAACATCCGGTTTATATCCGGTTCTACGTAACCGATATCAATAATATGGGTATCATTTGAAAGCTTATGAAAATATCTATCCAACAAGTGGTCATATGACGGGGTAATTGGAACCTGTTTCGGAGAAATTTAGGAAAATGTGCATTTTTGTATGAGTAATTTTTGAAAAACCCATAAAAACTCGAAAATGGACCCATTATATGGTCTTAAAATCTATACACAATATTATAGCTAACACTATTGCCTTTCCAAAATGGTGTCATATGTGTTGATATCTTTTGTAGTTCCGAAGATATTGACTTTTAAAGTCGTTACTTATGAAAGCAGTTTGAGTGAACCCAAGTTTTGTGTCGGGTTTAACGTTCTTGTTAATCTGCTTTGTTTTTAATTTGGTGTTGTTAGAATATTATGGATCGCGTAGTCGGTGTTGGACATATCCCAGAGGAGAAAATCTTAAGCCCCTGCCGAAGGCCGGCTACTTACAAAAATTACAATTTTTAGAAAAACTATGGATCGCGTAGCCGGTGTTGGACATACCCCAGAGGAGAAAATCTTAAGCCCCGGCCGAAGGCCGGCTACTTTCGAAAACTACAGTTTTTAGGAAACTATTGATCGCGTAGCCGGTGTTGGACATACCCCAGAGGAGAAAATCTTAAGCCCCGGCCGAAGGCCGGCTACTTACAAAAATTACAATTTTTAGAAAAACTATGGATCGCGTAGCTGGTGTTGGACATACCCTAGAGGAGAAAATCTTAAGCCCCGGCCGAAGGCCGGCTACTTACAAAAATTACAATTTTTAGAAAAACTATGGATCGCGTAGCCGGTGTTGGACATACCCTAGAGGAGAAAATCTTAAGCCCCGGCCGAAGGCCGGCTACTTACAAAATGTACAATTTTTAGAAAAACTATGGATCGCGTAGCCGGTGTTGGACATACCCCAGAGGAGAAAATCTTAAGCCCCGGCCGAAGGCCGGTTGCTTAAAAAAGCTATAAAGGTCAAAGTCAAATGCATCTAGACTGGAGAAAAATATAATTTAATGAATTCTATCTCTTATATCCACGGAACCACAAAAGATATCAACACATATGACACCATTTTGGAAAGGCAATAGTGTTAGCTATAATATAGTGTATAGATTTTAAGACCCTATAATGGGTCCGTTTTCGAGTTTTTATAGGTTTTTCAAAAAGTACTCATACAAAAATGCAAATTTTCCTAAATTTCTCCGAAACCGGTTCCAGCAACCCCGTCATATGACCACTTGTTGGATAGGTATTTTCATAAGCTTTCAAATGATACCCATTTTATTGATATCGGTTACGTAGAACCGGATACAAACCGGATGTTATATTCGAACTTTTGGGTCGAATAACCGGGTAACCGGGTATTTCCCCCACAAAAAAATTACATTGCCGTAATCAGGTTACAAATACCTACCTGCGGTAAAAATTTCAAAATGATCCGAGCATAGCCCCTAAACTCAACTTGCTCCCTTTATTTTATAAAACTTACCGGTTTTGAACCTGGAATTGCAGATACCAACATCCATTTCGCGATTCTCAAACATTTCTCTATTTAGAATTATAGGAAAAGGATATGACGAAAGTTTTTAGAGAAGCAATTTGTGCCAAATGGACCAAACCTTATATTTTCTCACTTCTAGTGACAAGATGAAACAATGGCCTTAAGCCATAAACGTTATACGTCTACATCTTTGGTCACTGCCTCGTACTTTTTCCGTCAAAAATCGACTGCATGTCAGACCAGATCACTCGATCTCATAACTACTCCTTAAAAGGAGGTGTACCCTATTTGGTGCGAATAATGTACTCGCTTTATTTTTCAACTTCCTCCACAACATACCTAAAATGTCATTGGTCTTTATGGCCTTGACCGGGGCTCAATTCAGATTTGTGGACCAATTTTCTTTTGATTGACTGAATGGGTTTCCATGCTCTTTAACTGGCTTAATTATGGATAATGACGTCTTACTATTTATTATAAATTGCCTTAAATTGCCCACGTACAAAAGCAGCTTGGGATCATGTAAGAAAAAAAAAAAACGACGACAGAATTTGATTATGACTGACTCTGGCATCGCTTTATGATATGTCACAAAATATGCCATGCGAAGACTTCAAGCTGCTTATCTACCCCTATAGTCCCAATACACATATACCGGAAAAATAGCTGATGAAAAGTCACACTTACCTCATTTAACTCCATTCATCTTCCCCATAAAACTCACTTCCATTTTCCTCAATATTTCCCCCTCTGTTTAATGATGTTTTAGGCAGTATTAGGGATGGGAATTCTAACAACAAATTCCAGTTCCATAACTTTTATAAAAAATCAATTTTAATTCATTTTTATTTTATTTTCCAGGAACCCGATGAGACATTGGGCGAACGCATTATGGGCCTGGCCGAAATGTTCCCACAACCATTGCGAGACTTTACTGGTGGCCTTGTTAACTTCACAACCAGCAGCATCAAGGGCCTGTACAAGTTTTCATGTAACGCATCATGGATATTCTTTACCAGTTCCGTGATACTTTTTGCTCCAGTCATATTCGAAACAGAACGTGCCCAAATGGAAGAAATGCAAAAGACACAACAGAAACAGGTCCTACTGGGACCCGGATCTGCGATGTCAGCTGTTGGAGAAACGCCAGCATTGCCATTAATACGATAAATTATTTTTTTTTATTAAATAATAATAATAAAGAAATTATGTTAAGACAAGTTTTCAAAATGTAATAGCAATGAGAATATAATACTACTTCACAACAGAACAAAAACAAAATCACAACCAAAAAACCAACAACAACAACAAACATCTTAAAAAAAACAAGTGTGCTATATTTGTAGTAAAGAGACCCGACATCATGTTCCCCGGGACTGGGAGATGTGGGTGTTTGTTTCTCTTTTGGAGAATTTTTAAACAATGTTTAAAATTTGCATTAAATTTCTTTGCCATTTTTCGGTAGAATTTCGTAATGGCAGCATTTGTTTTTATATTTAATAAATACTATAAAATAAAAAAAAATATCTATAAAGAAATAAACAAATTTAATAAATATTATAGTCGTTTATAGAACACAAACCTATAAACTGAGTTTGTTAATAATAAATACAAAATTAAAAACCAAATCCAAATCTATTGCATAGTCAAGTCAATATGAGATAAAAAATAAATACATTACTCCGAGTAAACAGCGGTGTAAATAAAAAACAATAACTTGTAATAATCATTTTCACGATATCCAATAAAAAAAACGAAAATTTCGAAACGTTAATAAACGATGTAGTAAATTTAGCGAGAATTATTAACGACAAATTTGTGATGAAGATTTGAACTAAATACGAGATTATTCGAATTGCTGAAGTTTAGTCCCCATGAAATCTCCATGTCGTGTGGGGCCAACAAATGTCTTCAAATAGCAAAGCTTAAATAAAATTTTATGCATAAAGTTTTAATAATTACTAAGGGTGTAGTTTTTATTACAGATGAAGGCAGATTCGTTTTATGGTTTGACAACTAACATATTTGCATTTAAAGTTTTTATGAAGAGGAATTTCGAACTCCTTCGTAATTTAATTGGAGAGTTTTCCAATATCGAGGGACAGTGAAAGGTTGGATATGATCTAAAATTGTCTCGGCATGGAGGGCAATATCTTACCCTCCATAAGATGTAGGGTATATTAAATGTTTTATTCCGTTTGCAATACCTTGAAATATTTTGTCAAAGATCCCATAAAGTATAAATCGAAAGGAAGAACTGATCCCATAGAAGGGCGGGATCTAATAATCATTGTTGGCATGCTGACTGGCGACTGCAGCATCAGATATCTGACCTCAAGATTGGATGACAGTGTTCCTGACTGCTGTAAACTATGTGGAGCTGAAGAAAAGATAGAGACGATTGAACACCTTGCAGATGTCCCATGTTAGCTAACAAGAAACATAGCTATTTGAGAGGTTGGAGACTATTATAGATAGAACTAGATATTGAAATGAATGGAAGAACAAGTAGGTTTAAATGCCTCCTCTTCGATTATTTTTATCGTTCTAAGATACACCTTGGGGTTCTTAGAACGACGATATAAATTTTTCTTCCCGCAATACAGGGTGAGATAAAAAAACTGCAACAAAGTCAAACGCCATAATTTTTACATTATTTTAAATTTTATTGAAAAAAAGTCGGAAATAGCATCAAATTTTAGAATACTTTTAGATTTGTTGGACTTGGTCACTTTTGGCACGAACTGTGGCCTTCAAACGGCCAATAAAACCGTCACACGCTGGCCGAATGTTGCTCTGCGGTATTTTGGCCCATTCCCGGCGAAGCGCTTGCTTGAGGTGATCGACACTTGCTCTTGCTTTCCAAAATACTCCAGGCACAATAGACCAACGGATTGGTATCCGGAGATTTTGGTGCGCTGGAAATGAAGTGAGGAAACTCATTTTGTAACCATTCTTGGACGGCGCGTGCTGAGTCCTTTTGGAATGTTCAAGGTCTGCGGCCAAAATGTTTGCGTGCCCAAGGCTTTAATACACCCTCCAGAATATTTTCGCGATGATATTCGGCATTTATTCTGATTCCACGTTTGATTAATACGAACGGAGAGCGATCATAGGCTGTTATGGCGTCCCACACCATCACCATAGCCGGCGCTTGAGTACTGGTGGCCAACCGAAGGTGCACATTTTCAGTTGAACTCTTTGACAAGCAAACACGATCATTCTTTGTTTACAAACTGCTGGCCAACGAATGTTTTCTCATCGGAGATGGAGAAAACCAAATTCGGCAGTTCACCGCTTTCGGCCAAGCGAAGCAAATCTTTAGCTCTATTTTCTATTTCCTTCTGTTGCGGTGTAAGTTCTTGAACTTTGTGGAATTTCAATGGCTTTACCACGAGCTCATTTTTCAATATTTTCCGAATGGAATATTGCGATATGTTCAGCTCACGAGCCATTTTTCGGCCACTGCGACGCGGGTTTCATTTCTGCTGATGTTGCTGTTTTCTTACGTCCACTTCCTTGACATATGTCGGGCTATGTTACCAAAAGATTTATACACATTTGAATGCTGGAGTGCTCTAACGATAGCCACTTGGTTGGTGGTTTTCCAGCCAAATTTAAAGAAATCACACTATCACGCTTGAATTTCATCACGAATAACTTTTTTTCTGGAAAATTCTCACCAAAATGCTTTTGTATGCTTGTAAACAATATAATGAGCTGTAACTGGAATAATTTTAACAGCTGTCGGACGAGTGGCTTAGTAATGACAGCAGTCTGAAGTTGGTTGCAGTTTTTTTTTTATCTCACCTTGTAAAGTAAAGGAAGTAGTCGATATAGTCTAAATCTGATACGTTGTAATATTTATATCAGTCTTAGATCAAATACGAATTGGTCAACTGCTTCGGAACATCCCCCACAAAGGGTCAACAGTTTGAATAATCAAGGCTCAAGGCTGGGGTTATACATCTGTCGGCAAAACCGACTGATACTATTTTATTTGTTTTTTTTTATTAGATACTTTCTTATTGGCTTGAGATTTCGGCAATTTTACATTTCGTAGGTCCACAAATTGGTACCACCAGAATTCAGTATTTTCAACTGCTTAGTGTGTAGTTTAAATCCTTGCGAAAAATATTCAATGTAGGTTTAACTTTTGTTAATGGACCCCATGCTTTGTGGTATTTAATAGGTTTCGTTCCCAACAATTTGACATTTTAGGTTTTCGGTGATTAATTTAACTCCTCGAAAAATATATTAAATGTATATCAATTTTTGTATAACATCCATACATAAGGGTATCTCATGATTTTCGCTATTAGGAGACAAGGTTTACTTTTTGGAGATAGGTTCATGAATACTAACCAAATCCGCTATATTTCTGCATTTCTGGTTCCTTGTAGACAGATTTATTGCTCTACTTGATTTTCTGTTAGATTTTTATTATTTTCTTTTATTCCAATTGTATAATTAACGGATATACGACATAAACATTTCGAATATCTTTACATACAGTCATACAGTAGTAGCCAGAGGCGAATTTAAAGGAAAAATTTATTTCATTTGACAATTTTGTACATATACAGTAAAAAAAAACAATATAAAGTTGCGAAGAAAAAAAAAACATTCAAAGAAAAACATATACCGGAACTCCTGGTTCGAAACGATAACATTTTGTGTAAAACATTAATTGCAACAAATAAAAAATATATATAAATGAGTATTTGCCATAAATTCATGCAGTCGAGTTCGTGAACAAGCACTGGGGATTGTATTTAAATGGAGATATCCAAAAAATACGTATGAACCTGGTTTCTGTGCGAGATTTTGTCACAAATCTTAACCAAATAAAAAAGAGTAAACAACATTACAAATAGAAATGACATGGTGTGCAAGAAGTTTTGTACTTTTCGAAAAGAAAACTACCACGAATAAACAAATTGAGTTCAGCACTTAGCATAGTAAGGAATATCTTTGTAGCACATCATTTAAACCAAATCCGAAATCGACTGCATATAGAAATACATTATTTAAACTAATACATGATTAGACAATGGTGTACAGTTTTGACGCATTATAGACGACATTATGGCCTCTGTGGTGATAATTGTAATATTCTTATTTATCCGTCTAACTTTATGCCAATCCTTGCGATCATCATTGCAGGAAATTAAGTAAAGTTTTTGATTATCCTTTGGAGTTGGGGTACCCTTGGCATGGACAATGCCACCGGCAATTTCGATAATGGCTGAAACGAAAAAGATAAAATTAAAATAATGAATCAAAAACATAAAAGTGGGTTATTGTATATTATTTTATTTATCATTCTCAAAAAAAGAACTAATTTTTAAGGTTCATGTATTTGAGAAAATTAAAACAAATTCCTGTTCTTAAAAATATAATACAGAAATCATTTCATTTCTTAAATCCATATTTTCCAGGTAAGTGGGTCTTCAAAACAAAAATAAATAATAAATAAATAAAATAATAATAATATTAAATAAATAAAAATTAATAAATATATATCCATATGGTCCATAAGAGACCATATCCATATTTTTCAGGGAAGTGTGTCTTCAAAAAAAAAAAAAATAAATAAATAAATAAAATAAAATAATAATAAATAAATAGAAGAAAATAAATAAAATATATGAAAAACAAATTAAAATCGACGTCCAAGAATGGGTTTTAAAAATAAAAAGTAAAAAATTTAAGACCTAACAATTTCTTTAAAAAATCCATATTTTTCAAAAATTAACAAGTGAAATGGGTCTTCTTCTTAAAGTGGACTTTAAAAAAAAATAATAATTTTTAAGGTTCATGTTTTAAAGAGAATTTAAACAAACAATTCGTGTTTTTAAGTTTTTTTAAATCCAAATTTTTAAGGGAATTGAATCTTCAAAAAAATTGACGTCCAAAAATGGGCCTTAAACAAAAAGTAAAAAATTCAAGGCCTATTTTTTTTTTTTTTTTGAAAAAGAAAAAAATGTATATACTAATAAATAAAGAGAAATATGTCTTCTTCAAGACAAAAGATTTTCAAAAAAAAACTTTAAGGTTCATGTTTTAAAGAAAATTAAAACAAATTCCCGTTCTTAAAAATATAAAACAGAAATCGTTAAAAACCTTAAAAATTTTATTAAAAAAATGCATGTCCTTAACTTTTTTTAAATCCATATTTTTCACAAAAAAGACTTTGCTTCTTCTTCAAGAAAAAAAAAATAAATAAATAAAATAAATAAATAAATAAAAATGGATGTCCAAGAATGGGCCTTTAAAATTAAAAAATAGAAAATTCACGTCCTAAAAATTTCTTTAAAAAATCCAAATTTTTTAAAAAAAAAGAAATATGGGACTTCAAGAAGACTTCGAACTTTTCATACATCCACCATTCGGAAGGAAATTTCAAAAAAAAAATCCGTCGAAAAAAAACTCAAAGAAATATGGGACTTCAAAAAACCTGCTAAATTCGACCGGGTTGAACTTTTTATACACTCCAATATTCGGAAGGAAATTTAAAAAAAATCCGTCGAAAAATATCGATCAAATGAAAACCTTTATATGGGAGCTATACGAAGACGTGATGCTGGATTTCGAACTTCAAATGCGAAAGTATCATCAAAATACCGAATATCGGGTGTTGCCGTTATATAGGGGATATACGAAGACGTGGACATGCACAGAAAATTTTCTGTCATAGACTGTAATATCCATTACGAACTTCAAATACCAAATTTGAAACATTTCCTGTGAATAATGTCGCTAAAATCATCAAAATACCGAATATCGGGAGGTGCGGTTATATGGCGTTATACGAAGGCGTGGATCTGTACAGACAATTTTCTGTCATAGGCTGTAGTACCAATTACGAACTTCAAATACGAAATTTGACGCAATTCCGGTGAATAATGTCGCGAAAAACGTGGAAATACCGAATATCTCGGGGTAGCGTTATATGGGTGCTTTACTAAAACGTAGACCTATATAGACAAATATCTTCCAGGGGGTAAAGTACTCACAAAGAACTCCTTGTGTAGAATTTCAGACAATGCCATTGAAAAATGTTACTTTAATCATCAAAATACCGAAAGTCTGGGGCCCATTGTATGGGTGCTATACGATATCGTGGACCTATATAGAAAATTATCTTTCAGGCGGTAAAGTACTCACGGAGAACTCCTTGTATAGTATTTCAGACAATGCCATTGAAAATTTTGACTAAAATCATCAAAATACAGAATATCGAGAGGTATTCTTATATGGGGGATATACCATATCATGGACCTATATAGACAATTCTCTTTCAATGTGTAAAGTATTCAGAGGGATCTCCTTGTGTAAAATTTCAGACAATGTCATTGAAAAATATAGTTAAAATCATCAAAATACCGAATATCGGGAGGTATAGTTATGTGGGGGATATACGATATGATGGGCCGATATAGTCCATCTTCGAACTTGACTTGCCTGCAGACAAAACACAGATTGGTGCAAAAATTGTCTTAGAATTTTACGCTGATCAAGAATATGTACTTTGTTGGGTCTAAAATTATTATTTCGATGAGTTACAAACGAAATGACGAACTTAATATACCCTCCATACTATTTATGGTGGGGGTACAAAAAAACGACGAGTGCACCTTTAAAAATCCAAGACCAGGATGGATCTTAATAGAATCACCTCAGAGAATGAACCTTAAGAAATATTTTTTTTTTTTTTTTTGAGACGGGATTTAATTCGTCTATAAGAGACACGTTCCTTTAAGATGGGCTTCACTTCACCGTAGACAGTTTTAGACAGGCTTCGGCTAGTCTATAAGGACCACGTTGCTTTTAGACAGGCTTCAGCTCATCTACGATGGGCCTAAAAATGTCATTAAAAATATTCTCGAAAAATTCAAGGTCACTTCGTCTATAAGAGACCATATCCCTTTTAGGCGGGCTTCAGCTCATCTATAGGGACCACGTTCCTTTTAGACAGGCTTCATCTCATCTACAATCGACCTTTAAAATTTCATTAAAAATATTCTCGAAAAAATTCAAGACCAAGATACTTTCTCCAAGATTAAAATATTCCACTTATTCACTCTAAATTTTAGAGGATAAAAATACAAAAAATTCCATAACCAAATATCGTATATAACAACATGAATACCCACCTTGCAACTCCGTTGGTACTGGTTTAATATTTGTAGTCATTACAAATTCGTAACCATGAAATAGGCCCTTTTTATTTTCCCTTGCCAACTGCAGTGATGAGGCCAACGAAAATTTATGTTTCTTCTCGAAGCCGGGGTCATTGAGAATGTAATTACTCAAGGGAGGAACTTTTTTCAGAGATTTGGCTGAATTAATATCCTCGAGCCATTGTGAGGTTACAATGGGTATACCTCGTGCCATGGCCAATAGGAACTTAAAGGTACGGAAGGTTTTGTCCATTACCAGAACTTCACTGTCCTTGGGATCTTTGGCCACTGCCCATAAGCCTGCAAAAATAAACGTATAAAATTAATAAAAAAACTGTTATCTCAATGTTATTTATTTTAACAAACCTCTTGATTTGGTTTGCAATTCGTTAAATCTTTCCGGTTCAACCATGGTTATGGATATCAATGGTCGTGCTGAAAGGCCCGAAGTTGAGGAGCTAGCTGTTGAAGTTGTGGAGTCATGGGAATTCTACAAAAGAAAAGGGATTAATAAATATTTAAAATAAATATTTCTCTCGTCCTATCCTCAACATAATTGTCTAAGACGATTTCCAGATGTTCTCGCTTATTTATTAACAATAACGGAATCCAATGGTATTTTATAAGAAAATAAAGAAAACAATAAATAAAAGTTATAAAAACAAAAAGTAATTAATTCATTTGTAAGAATTTATAGAGAACAACCCACACCAATGGTATTCAATGACTATTCTATGAAATAAACAAAACGAAAAGAGAAAAACAACAAACTTAAGTCTATCTTATCTCGTAAAAGTAAATTACGAATACTTACTATTCGTTTAAGACGTTTCTTTTCCTCAATTTGTTGAGGTGCTGCCGTTTCGGATTTACGTTTACGCACAGCTGCACTAGCTGAGGTTGGAATTTTCTTTTCAATACTATTTGTGATTGATGAATTGAGTCTGGAACTGCTGCGATTAAGCGTAGTAGCGCTTGAATTCAAACTATTTGGCAATGTGGATGATGACGTTGATGAATTTGATGCTTTCTTCGTGGCATCATTTCTTTCTTCTGATTGTTGTGAACGTGATCGTGTTCGGGTTCGTGTATTGTGCACAACTGAAAATATTTTAATAAATAAATAGTTAATTAAACTATCTTATAAAAGAAATTTTATCTTTTCGATAACTTACATGTCTGTGTAGACATTAGATCCATATCATCTGTGGTCGTAATACTGTCTTTACTGGACTGTGTCTCTCTCGATTTGAGTCTGGTGTTGCGTTTGGGTGGATCTTTTGTTTCTTTTGGCGGTGGCTTTTCGGACGATTGTTGCCGTGTATTGCGTCTTGGGGGACGGACTTTTTCAGTTTCTTCTGATTCCTTATCCTTTTGTTGCCTTTGTTTAGCCTGTTTCACAGTTGTGATTTCATCTTCATCTTTTCCGCTATCTTTATCCTGTACCGATCTGGTGAGTCGTTTGGATGAAGCTTTCTTCTCTTCCTTTTCATCATTCTTTTTTGGTCTCCCACGTTTTATAGTTTTACTAGATGATGATGATGATGTTTCATTTTCCTCAACTTTTTCCTTAATTTCTTTGGATTTGTCTTCTTTTGAAAAGTCCGCAGGGAGAGGCTCCTTTTTCTTTTGGCGAGAGGAAGATTCCTTAGTTTTAACTTCGTTAACAGTTTTCCTTCTATCCTGTTTTTCTCGATCCCTAGCCGCATGTCTTTGATCTCGGCTGAGAGTAGAGGATGAGCTCGTTGATTTTCTATCCTTTTTTGCATTTGGTTCTTCGCCAAATGATGTATTAAATTTGTATTCCTTTCTTGCTTCTATTGCCGCCTTTTGCTCTCTTGTAATTTTTGGTCCATTCTTAATTCCATTGCTTGCTTCCTGTTTTAGATGTGGCAATAGTTTATCAAAATCATTCGTATTTTTAGGTACATTAATTAGTTGAACCAAACATTTGTCATTTTCACAATCTTCACTCTTATCATCCTCGTCGTCGTCGTCATCGTCACCAAAAAGATTTTTATTCTTAACTGCCAGCATGTTTTTTCTCAAATCATCGGCTTTTGAAAATGGAATGTGATCTTTTATGAGCTGTGGTGTACACATTAACAAATCCATATCAGATTCGGTGGTGGTCGTGCTGGCAGCAGACGAGGTTTTCTTTATTGTTGAGAAATTTTTCTCTGGCATTTTGAAGACATTTGAAGTGGCAATTGTTTTGTCCAGTCCCTTTGGACTTGTTTCCATTTCGGCAAAGAAGGAAGCTGGATTTTTAGCCACCGCCTTGTCTTCCAATAAAGTTGAGTTAAAGCAGTGATTCACAGATTTCACGCTTGATGCTCTGGAAGATGTGCTTTTTGGTGGCGGTGGTACAAATGCTTGGGTTAAAATATCATCTTCCTCATCACCCATGACATTGACAGTAGGTTCTGCTAATAAATCCTCCTCAATTGGTTTTTGGCTAGTGTTTGAAGTAGGCACTTGTTTTTGTTTTTCCTCCCTTTTGGTTGCATTACTTTTACGTGACGAAGACGTAGAAGTTGAGGAATGTTCCGACAAAGCTGAAACACAAATTGAAGTTTACAATTATTTCTGGAAACTTGTAACACAATTTCGCACTTACCATCATTGCTGGCAAAAAGTTGTGTGGGTGGCAAATCGGAAACGGGATCCATCTTATCTGGATGCATATTTTCCTTGTCACTTAGTGTTAAAAACGGTTCATCTTCTTTATTCTCAAATATATTTTTATCCTTGGATGTCTTATTTTTGTCCAAACCACTGTTGGTATTGTTTGAGGATGTGTTCGAAGCTGGAAACATTTGTGTTGCTAAATAATCCTCATCGTCATCCAAACCAGCAGGAGGAGCATCATTCTCAAAAAGATTCACAGCAGCATCGGCTAAATCTGTAACAACTGCATTATTCTCGTTTGCAATAGCCTCTAAAGCTTGACAATCAAACAGATCTGGTGTAGAACAATTCAAGTCATCGTTAATCTGGGGATTGGGTGGTGGATTTTGGGCAGCAAACGAATTAATATTGGCCACCTCATTATCATCTTCAGTGGGTTCTTTGTTAGGACTTGCTTCCTGTCTGGCTGGTGCAACACTACTGTTCAATAAAACTGTATTGTGTCTTATTAGCGGAATAACCTGTGACTGCATTAGCGAATTATCCTCTTCACCAAAACCTTCATTGTAGTCTTGTGTGGAAATCCGGAATTGACTACCACTACTACCATTTGCAGCACCAAAGGAACCATTTATGCCCTCATCATCTGAATCATTCAAGTCAACTGATTTTTCTTCCAGTGGTTTCATTTTATCCATGTATGGCCGTGGTCTCTGGGAACTTAACACCTCTTGTGTTTCTGGTATACAAAAATCATCATCACCAGTGGAATTATCCAATCGTGTTTTATCCCCCTCCGAGGTTGTACTTTCGGCTATGGAAAGATTGGAGGCTAGTGATGCCCGCCCGCCACAATATTGGGTTTCGGGTATCATGAAACTATCACTGGAACGGCCTCTATTTGATGTATTGAAGCCTAATGAACTACGGCGGCTATTCGAGAGTGCTGCTTCAGTTTCTGGTACAACAAAACTATTGCTGAGCCTCGAAGGCTGGGACTTTGCTGTTTGCGCTTTATTTGACGACGACGGTATTGCAGGCATCAAGAAATTATCCGAGCTGTTATTGTTTAAACGTTTCACTCTGGAATCTCTATGCGTTGTTGTCTCGGGACTAGAGGCAATTATATCGGATGTGTTTTTGTTATTATCACCGAAACCACTGCTGTCGTGGGACTGAAAACCAAACTGATAAGACTCAAAATAATAGATATTTTGAAACCTTACTTACATTCTCCATTTGTTCATCATTGTGGAATCGTAGACACTGAAACCGACCAAGTCTTACTTCATCTCCAGTTTTTACCGAAACCTTTGTAAAGGGCCTTAAGGGTTTACCATTAAGGTAAGTTCCCTGCGAGCTGAATAAGTCATAAACGTAGACATCTTCCTGGGCAAACACACCCACACAGCAATGTTTCTCATCCACATCCTGTACACATACATATATGAATCAGAAAGATAAACAACGCTCTTCCAAAAAGTATATCTATTTAATTACCTCGTTTTCAATATTGAAGACATACTTTGTGTCATTTGGAGGCAGCAATTTCCCAAACAAATATAACTGGCCCACCTCAAGCATATGACGCTGTCCGTTTATTTCCAAAGACATTATCGGAAGCTAACAAAAAGAGGCAATTTTTAATTTCTCTTTCAATAATTTAAATACAAAATGCTTACATTTTCATTCATTGCTAGTATTGTGCGTATTTTACTTAAATGTTTTTATTAAATTACTGTGGTAAAATATATTCTGTAATGTTTCCAACATTTAATCCCGCGAAATTCAATGTTTATCAAAAAAACCTTAAATTCATTGGCTTGGCAATAGGGATCTGTAAGTCGACAAAAGGACTTGGCTTGCGAATGATGATAGAATGTGAAATTCAATGAATTAAGTTACGAATATGATGGAAAGAGGAAATCAAGATATTTTATAAAATTTTTGATGGTATTTTATAATCATAAAATGACAAAGTTTATTTAAAATATTAAAGATTCCGAGATGTAGTGGTGCAATTTAAAATTAATGTCAGATGAATAAATTATGTGAAAGGACGCACTTAATATGTACGGCGCCGGTGCCCATCGAATTATAAGCAAACTAAAAGTACATTTCGTGTCATATTCAATGTACAGTACAGTGGTTTAGACCTCATGAACAATTTCCGAACATGTTAAATACATAAACATAGTCTATTTCTTGGATCGGTCCTTGATAATTCTACAATGCACATAGCATCGGAAGAAAATGTAACTCATACCGATTTTCCTTTTCGGTTTAAAAAGAGTTTTGTTAAGTAAGCAATGAACTGACGCAAGGCAGGAAAGCCAATGATTTGGGTTCCTTGTTGTACAATAATCGACATTTATTTGAGCATCATATACTCCACCATTTTATATGTATTCCTTACGATATATTAAAGTAAATCACTCCAGCATAAAAGCCTCCTAAATTTAAAATCATGCCAACCCGCTCAAGTTATCAGTTCAGTGTGAATGATAGCAGATCTGTTTCCCTCCAAAATGAGTTTCTGATTCTTTTCGATCTAAAAAGCTCTGTATTTACTTTGAGTTTTTTCATTTTCTCTATTTAGGCTTTAACATGCCTTTCTTACGATATATATAAGTAAATTACTCCGAGGCCCTGTACATTTTCAGTGCAGTCAATATATATTTCAATGCACAAAAACCTCCTTAATTTAAAATCGTGCCAGCCTTATAAATTATCGGTTTCGTGTGAATGACAGCATATCTGTTTCCTCGCACAAAATGTGTTTCTGGTTCTGCATTGACTGCGTCTTCTATCTTCAAAGCCCTGCTTTTTCGGTTTGTTTTTGTTTTGGTTTACATTTTTATCGTTCATTACGTTTTGCTTATTGGTACTGATAAGGAGTGTGCTTCTTCTTCCCATATCGTTTGGAACGCTTTTAAATTTGTTCGTTTACCAAGCCGGTGGAAAAACAATTCGGTGCAAAAACAAGTTAATACTTTTTAACAAAATTATTAAATTATTCTCAAAAACAGTCTTGAGATTATGTCTCCATTGATACCTTTACGAGATCCTAACGAGGATTACAATATAAAACGCTTTTACAATTGTGTTTGCGCCCAAACAATATCAACGTCGGGCAAGTTTCTGTTTGCCGGCAATCGGGCGGGAGATATCTTTGTGCAAAAGTAAGTGAAGGAAAATATTATTTTAAATTATTGTTAACAGTGAATATATATTTTCAGTATTACCAATTTCCAGAATTCAGAGGAAATGCGACCACCACTCAAAATATATCCACAAGGCGAGGAATGCGAAATCAACTGTTTGAGCTTCCATCGAGAATTCTTAATTGTGGGCTCCATTGGGGTGGTGTATGGCTTAAAATGGGTTGAGGATAAGGCTGAACTGGCCACGGGCCGTGCTTGGGAAATCAAAATACCCATTGATGTGGAGGCCATCGAAGTTCCAGATGTGAATTACATGTGGCTGCGACCCGAAACCGATTTGCTTTACGTTGGCTGTGGTGATAATGTGATTTATGAACTGAACTTGGAAGATGGCCGTATAACACGCAGCTTCAAGGGTCATGAAGATTACATACATGGTGTATGTGGCTCGGGTGCGTATAAATTATATTCCGCCTCCGAAGATGGCAGTATTCGTATGTGGGTGACAAATCAAAAAGACAGCACTGGCCTCATTGAACCATACAAAAAAGACACATTGGTTCGCCCTGAAATGGGCAAATGGCAAGGTGCATTGGCCACCAATGAAGATTGGCTGCTGTGTGGTGGTGGACCAAAATTATCCCTATGGCATTTACGTTCCATGGAATGTACAAGTGTCTTCCCATTTCCGGGCAAGGTACATGTTTGTGATTTTGTCGAAGATATGATATTTGTTGGCGGTGAACATACTAATGCCCAATTCTATGCCATGAATGGTAAGCTGAGAGCTGATATAAAGACGGAAAACACTGCGGTGTATTCGTCGGTATGGAAGACGGAACCGGAACGTTTTATGTCCATTGCTGGCTATAGTAACTGGTTGTCGATATTAAATGATTTTCGCTTTTTGGATAGTAAAATTGAATTGTATGAAAGTAGAAGTAATAGTGATACAACTACAGTTAAGGGGGAGAATGGTGTGTAAAATAAAATAAAGGCTAAGAAGACAAATTAAGAAGTCTAACTGGTAATGTATTCGAAGTTATCTGTGAGGTTTTTTACTATCATTTTTATTTTTAATTCATATTTACAGAAAATGTTTGAAATACTAACAAAAATCAATCAATCTTTTTCTCAATAACAACAATCAAATCAAACTAACAACTTTTTCAAATAGAAAGGTAAGTCCTATATATTCACGTTAACTAAACAAAGTAGAATTTGGAGTCCGAAAGGTTTATCTAATTAAATGGTTTCTTCGCATCACTCTTTGATACGTCCGTCAGAAATAGAGATGTATTTTGAAAATTAAAGTCGACGCATTGTTCATCATATCAATCTTCAATACAGTTGGTCATGGCTTCAAAAGTGTCCCTTAAACCCTAGCAATGCTTACTAGTTATTTCAAAATTACATAAAGTTTTCATCAAGTTTTACTCTTTTTATTATAAGCTAAGAACAAGCTAAAAAGTAGCAGTCGGTTTGCCGGCAGATGTATACCCTCAGCCAATGTTGGGTTATTCAAATAAATTTTGACTTCTGTTATGATTATTCAAATTGTTGACCCTCTATGGAGTAGGTTCCTAAGGAATGGTCCAATATTGTCCACTTCGTATCGGACCTAAATAAATATGAAATAAATATTGCGGCGTGCCAGGTTTGGACTATATTTGTTACATTCTTAAGATAATCGTGATAACTTTTAGAAAGTGTTAAAATGTGCTTGTGGTACCAGATATAGTTGACCGAAGTATACTATTTTCATACTTCATTTAATACAGATATAAATATTGGTATGGGCAAAACTACAAGAAAATCGAACGGAATTTATACGAACGAGTTTATATCCAATTTAATGCGAAATCATAAATTCCATATTCATCCCGAGTATCTGGTAATGAATCGCTGACTTGTTTTGCAAGTTATGACAGATAAACGTATTGAAAATTGTGACCCTTTGTGGGCGAGGTACTGGAGGGGCTTCGCAGATGTATAACATCTTCACAACAGATCTTGTATTACCAGAAATGTTTGTATGTGTGAAAATTGAAGAGAGTTGGATGCTTTTTTCGCTTTCTTTGAACATTTTGAATTTTTAAATCTTGAACCATATGTAGACGAGGTCCCAGGAGAAATGTTCCGATCTCTACCATCTTTATAGCGTATCTTGTGTTGATGGAAATATTGATATGTACCAAGTCTGAATGGAGTCGTATGTTAATTTCGCGTTTTATGAGTTACATTGATACTCAAAATCTTGACCGTTTGTGGGGGAGGTACCTGAAGGAGCAGACTGATATATCCCAACTCCACAACAGAAATAATTAGATGTGTAGTAGAAATAATTAGAGTGTAAAATATGAAGAGAACCGTATGCTTATAACTAATGTGATGATCTTTTTGGTTATTCAAACTTTAACTCTTTGTGTGGGAGGTACCAGAAGGAATGGTCCGATCTATACCACCTTTATAACATATCTATATCGGATTTTATGATAGCTTTGGTCATTCAAAACGTTGATCCATTGTGGTGGAAGTACCAGAAGGAATGCTTCGACCCCTACAACCTTTATAACAGATCTTGTGTTGATAGAAATATTGTGGTGTGGCAAGTTTGAATGGCATCGGATATTAATTTTTATAAGCTTCATGGATATTCAAAATTTTGACCGTTTGTGGGGGAGGTACCAGAAGGAATGGACCGATATATTCCATCTTCACACCAGACCTTGGACTAATAAAAATATTGTTATGTGTGTAATTTGAAGACAAGCGGACTTGTTTATTACATTTTATAAGGGTGATATTTTTTTAAAATTTTAACCCTTTGTTGGGGAGGTACTTGATGGAGTGGACCAATAATGTCCACTTTCGCCCCTGACCAAGCTCTGATGCAAATATTAGGTTTTGCAAATTTGGAGAAAAATCGGATTATCCTTTCACTTTATATACACGTTTTGGCCGTATCAAATGATATATACCCTCTTTAGCCATATAGCTGAGAGTATGAAAAGATGTTCGAAAGCCAGCCTCTCCATTGCATCTTTTCACTTACCTCTCTTAAGCCAACCTTCCACTCGGTTAATCCTGGAGTTGTAGTCACAATACGATTTGTATATAAAAATCATACAATAAGCTTCTTTAAAAATAATAACACACTGTTCCGGCCATGTCGAAGGTTTAAAGACCCACATTATTTCCAAATATTTTGACAGTCTAGAATCTACGTGTATTCCTAGGTACTCTATATCTATGTGAACAAGTAGTCAATGCAAATTTCCAAGTGCATATTTGGTTTATGCGTTGGACATCATTTCATTTTCACCGGATTCACTTTTGACTCATATCATATTATCCAGATTTCGAGTGATTTGAGGGCCCCATTCAATGTCACTCAACATGGATGTCAACAAACTAGCAAGGAGTATCACCATATCGTCCGAATATGTAGAAGAATGTAACTTCCTCTTCGCCCATATAAAACAATTAGCAAATGTCGTACAGTGACCAATACATGGGTGCCCGGGCCACTTGGAAATTGTTACTTATTTTTTATACCCTGCACCACATTAAAGTTTGTCATTTCGTTTGCCTGTCAGTTGAAATTAGTATATGGCCTGTAATACTTGACACAGAGCATTAAAATTTGACTTAATAGTTAACATTCTGTCTATGATGATTGGAGTTGAAAATGAGCTAAGTCGGTCCACGTTTTCGTATTACCCCATTTAACTGCAAATGCCTTTATTCGGTATTTTGATGATTTTAGCCATACTTTTCCACGAAATTGTTTCAAATTAGCTATTTAGAGTTTGCAATGGGTACTCTGTATGTTTTGTATAAAGTCCACGTTTACTTATATTCTCAATTTCGGATATTCATTTTTTTCCAATTTTTGCTACAATTTCTAACAGATTTGTTTGAATTTCAGTATTGGTAGTTCATAATGGGTTTTATCTTCGGCGGCGGCACATTGTCTGTGTAAGTCCATGCTTTCCTACAGCACGTGGCGGTACCTTCGAATATTTAGTATTTAAACGATTTTGCCACATTTTCTATCGGATTAGGTTTAAAATTCGTTATTTGTAGTTCGCAGTGGCTTCTAGCACAGGTGTCAGAACATTGTCCATGTTGGTCCACGGAGCTCCCACACAACGTTAGGGCTCGACATTTGGTATTTTGATTATATTAGCCACAATTTTATACGGAATTGCTTCCAAACGATAAAATGGTCGATTTTTCCCGAGAACATTCTTTTTCCCCACATTTCATTATAAATTCAAAATTGTTCTTTTTTTCCTAATTTAATTTATTTTGAGTTATTTGAGATACGTGGGCGTCTTAGACAACAATGGGTTTACAATCATCTTTGGTAATTGACATCAGTTTCAGTTGTTTGCTGTCCTTGTTGTTCTTCAAAAATTCACAATCTCCAAAGGATAGGTGTCTGAAATGGAATTCAATTTAATTATGAGAGATTTTGATAATAATTTAATTAAACTTACTCTGTTTCAACAAAGTTGACCAACATTTCTAGGAATTTCTTGGAAATGATAACCTCATCGGGACGGGGTGGACTACGCACCGGATAGTGGAAGATTAGGGATAAGTCGTCTAAATGATTGGTGCCTGGAAAAGAAAAGATGATGGAAGAATTATGAAATAAACAAATTGTAATACCTGGAGAGAAGACCAAGAATGGGTCCAAATCTTTAGTAGATATGAGACATTCCAAAGGTTTTCTATGGATAGAAAATATCTTATAGGTAGGGAAATAAGGCTGATTGACAATCCTAGACTTAAACTGCTAAAGGACATCCATAAAGGGTTCACAAACTCCCTTATAATATACTTAAGCCAATATTTAATGCTGTAACCTAACTTCTATTTAAATTCTTACCATATTTGAAATCCTTCTTTCCTGTCAGAGCATATCCCAAACTATAATCCGCCGGATTGTCATAGACATAACCATAGATGGGACTATCCGATTTTTCACTATGCAATTTCATTGATTCCAATAGGCCATCTTTAAACAAAATATCCGTATAAATCTCTTGAACCTGCCAATAATTTTCCACCGAAAAACTCAAATCTCCCATGTATTTGCGGCGCAATTCCTTGGCATATTCCACGGGTTGGTCAGTGATGCTACGCAAAAAGAGATTTGGTGGTGCCAAATCCAACCATTTCTCATTCAAATCGTAGATATACTCCTTGCCTGTCTTTGGATTCATTTGAAGTAACTCCGCAGCATTGTAGCCACCATCTTCGGAGGTATAGGTGAACAAATAGGGGATGTGAGTGTATTGTCCCGATTTAATGATATCCCTTGGATGTTTGCTCAAGAAAGCATTTTTAGCCTTAGGGTGCTCAACAACGGGGCCAAAGGTGGAGAAGGGATTATAGCCAAAATTCAGTAGATATTTTACCGAGCTCACAATATCCCCAGCTGGCTTGGCTTGCAGACATTTCTTAATTTCCTGGGTATTTTCCAAATTGGGACATTTCAAAATCTTGGCCACCTTGAAAGCACTTTGCCGTGCAGATGTGCTAAATGCCCAGGGATTTAGGGCAACACCACTAAATGACACTGCAGTTTTGGCCAAATTTTTGGTTTCCTGATTGAGCACATGATAATGTGTCGAGGCACCACCTGCCGAAAAGCCAGTCAACATAACCTTGCTCGGATCTCCACCAAAATTGGCAATATTTTTTTGAATCCATTTCAATGCCAATTGTTGATCTTTTAAGCCGAAGTTTCCTGTAATGGCTTCATCTTCGGTGCTCATGAAGCCAAGGGGTCCCAGGCGATAAACCACCTTGACCAAGATCATGTTGCCATTACGCATCAAATAATCGGGTTCATAGAAATTCACATCGCCAAACATAAAACAGCCACCGTGAATGTAAACCATTACCGGGTAGCTTTCCTTGCCTGTCTTTGGTTTGTAGACATTGACTGTGAGACAATCTTCAACACCGGTTAGTTTGTTTTCGCCCTCCTGAAACTGATCCCATTGCATGCAGGGTTTGGGTTTCACACTGGCATCAAATTCTGCTTCCCATTTGTGGTTATATGGCTGAGGGGCCTCAAACCTCAATGATCCTGTGGGTGCCTCAGCATAGGGTATGGATTCATAGCTATAGTAGAAGCCATTATCTTTACCCCTCAGACGCCCATTTTCAATTTCCACAATCAATGGATCTTTATTCCTATTTCCACACCAAATACTATATAAGACGAATAAAATCGAACCCAATACGAAAAGTTTAAACTTCATCTTCTGTTGCGGCCGGCTACTCGTGAGCAACTGTTTTTTTCTTTGGGTAGAAAAAAAGCCTTGTCATCTAGACGAATTTAAATTCTGGATTACGTACCGAGATAATGAAATCCAGAGGTGTGCGATAGGTCAATTTTTAAGCTGACGAGGCGTTAGCCTTATCAAAAAAATGATTTTTTTTTTTTTCAAATTTTTGTATTAAAGAATAGTTTGTTTTCGGAATTATACCGGTATGTTTTATTCGCTGCATTAAACAATAAATAAAATTAATTGTTTCTTTATCAGCTATTCGGCCAAGTAGTATGTTATTAGCACTGGTATAGATTGGGAATAGCTATATTTGGAAGTGTTCTTTTTTGATCTACATTATCGGAATACAATAAAAAAATTGTGTCAAAATTTCCATTGTGCAGCATATCTTATCGCAGACCACCTTCTGTTAGAAGTCAATAACCCAATGATAATGCATTAAAATTCGATTTAGCGATCTCCGTTCGTCTGTCCGTCTGTGAAAATCACTCTAGCTTCCGAACAAAATGAAGTAGGTTGATAAAATTTTACTCAAATGTATATTATGCATGTCTGCAGGACTTTTGGTGTTGAAAATGAGCCATGTAGTTCCACGTTTTGGTATAGCCCCCATATGATGGTGATGACCTTCCTATATTCACCGGAATTATTTCAAATTTGGTATCTGAAGTTCGTAATGGATAGTACAGCCTAAGACAGAAAATTGTCTGTGCAGGTCCACGCCTTCGTATAACCCCCATATAACCGCAGCTCCCGATATTCGGTTTTTCATGATTTTAGCGACATTATTCACCGGAATTGTTTTAAATTTGGTATTTGAAGTTCGCAAGGAATACTACAGCCTATGGCAGAAAATTGTCTGGCTAGGTTCACGTCTTCGTGTAGCCCTCTTATAACGGTATCTCTCGATTTTCGGTATTTGGATGATTATGGCGACATTATTCACCGGAATTGTTTCAAATTTGATATTTGAAGTTCGTAATAAATACTACAGCCTATGACAAAAAATGTTCTATGCAGGTCCACGTCTTCGTATAGCCACCATATAACGGTACCTCTCTTTTTTCGGTATTTTGGTGATTTAAGCGACATTATTCACCGGAATTGTTGCAAATTTGATATTTGAAGTTCGTAGTGAATACTACAGCCTATGACGAAATATTGTGTCTGCAGGTCCATGTCTTTGTATAGTCCTCATATAACGGTACCTTTAAATATTCGGTATTTTTATGATTTTGGCGACACCATTCACCCGAATTGTTTAAAATTTGACATTTGAAATTCGTAATGGATACTACAGCCTATGACAAAAAAATTTCTATGCAGGTCCACGTCTTCCTATAGCCACCATATAACGGTATCTCCCGATATTCGGTATTTTGATGATTTTAGCGACATTATTCACCGGAATTGTTTCAAATTTGGTATTTGAAGTTCGTAATGGATACTACAGCATATTACAGAAAATTGTCTATGCAGGTCCATGTCTTCGTATAGCCCTCATATAACGGTACCTCCCGATATTCGGTATTTTTATGACTTTAGCGACATTATTCAGCGGAATTGTTTCAAATTTGGTATTTGAAGTTCGTAAAAGATACTACAGCCTATGACAAAAAATTGTCTGTGCAGGTTCACGTCTTGGTATAGCCCCCATATAACGGTACCTCCCGATATTCGGTATTTTGGTGATTTAAACGACATTATTCACCGGAATTGTTTCAAATTTTATATTTGAAGTTCGTAATGGATACTACAGCCTATTACAGAAAATTGTCTCTGCAGGTCCATGTCTTCATATAGTCCTATTTCGGTTTTTTTGTGATTTTAGCGACATAATTCAGCGGAATTGTTTCAAATTTGGTATTTGAAGTTCGTAATGGATATTCGTAATGTATTCAAAGTTCGGCCCAGCCGAACTTACAGCTTTTTTACTTGTTTTACTTACCAAATTTAATATCCTTTCTTCCAGAGAGAGCATAGCCGGCACTATAATCCGCTGGATTATCATAGACATAACCATAAATTGGTGTAGCCGATTTTTTACTATGCAATCGCACCGTTTCCAAAAGGCCATCCTTAAATAACACATCCGTATACATTTTCTGTACCTTCCAATAGTTATCCACAGAGAAACTTAAATCTCCCATATATTTGCTGCGCAATTCCTTGGCATATTCCACCGGTTGGTCATTAATGCTACGCAAAAAGAGATTTGCTGGTGCCAAATCCAACCATTTCTCATTCAAATCATAGATATACTCCTTGCCTGTCTTTGGATTAATTTGCAGTAACTCTGCAGCATTGTAGCCACCATCTTCAGAGGTAACGGTGACCAAATGGGGTATTTGTGAATATTCGCCAGATTTGATAATATCCCTTGGATGTTTAGTCATAAAGGCATTTGCCGCCTTGGTATGCTCAACCACCGGGCCAAAGGTGGAAAAGGGATTATAGCCGAAATTCAGCAGATATTTAACCGAGCTCACAATATCCCCAGCCGGTTTGGCTTGCAGACATTTCTTCACCTCTTGGGTATTTTCCAAATTGGGACATTTCAAAATCTTGGCCACCTTTAAGGCATTTTGTCGAGCCGTTGTGCTAAGAGCCCAGGGATTGAGGGCCACTCCACTATATGACACAGCAGTTTTGGCTAAATTCTTGGTTTCCTGGTTGAGTACATGATAATGTGTTGAGGCTCCACCTGCCGAAAAGCCACTTAACATCACCTTGCTGGGATCGCCACCAAAATTGGCAATATTTTTTTGAATCCATTTCAAGGCCAATTGTTGATCCTTCAAACCAAAGTTACCAGTTATGGCCTCATCTTCGGTACTCATGAAACCAAGGGGTCCCAGGCGATAAACCACCTTGACCAAGATCATGTTGCCATTACGCATCAAATAATCGGGTTCATAAAAATTCACATCGCCAAACATAAAACAGCCACCATGGAAATAAACCATTACGGGATATTTCTCCTTGCCAGTTTTGGGTTTGTAAACATTGACTGTGAGGCAATCTTCCACGCCCGTCAATTTGTCCTCACCCTCCTGAAATTGATCCCATTGCATGCAGGGTTTAGGTTTTACACTGGCATTAAATTCTGCCACCCATTTTTGTTTATATGGCTGAGGGGCCTCAAACCTCAATGATCCCGTGGGTGCCTCAGCATAGGGTATGGATTCATAGCTAAAGTAGAAGCCATTATCTTTACCCCTCAATCGCCCATTTTCAATTTCCACAACCAATGGATCTTTATTCCTGTTTCCACACCAAATACTGTACAAGACGAATAAAATCGAACCCAATACGAAAAGTTTAAATTTCATCTTCTGTTGCGTTTGGCTATTCGCGAACGACTGATATTTTTTTTTTGAAAAATCGCCTTATCATCCCAGTTGAAATAAATTATTGAATTACAAATTGCGATAATGAAAATGAAGTGGACAAATGTAGATATGTATGTGCATCCGCATTTGTGGGTTGAATTGATAGAACAATTTTGAAGTTGCCGAGGGTCTTGAAAGTGAGGGTTATTATCGATAAGATTTTTTTATTTTTGTTTGGAATATTACTCCCATATTTTTAAAATATGAATGTGCTTAAATGATATAAATATCAATTGTTATGAAGCAGATATTGAAATTTCGGTAATTTAATTGTATGGCTTATTCGTATAGTACTCCTTGCGAGTAATTAAAGGGTCTGTACGCCTAATTATATCAAAAAACCTTTTCTAGCCACTGTTGAGCGGACCCTGGACTTGCTTTTATATGAGGATACGAAAGTGAAGCCGAAAGAAAAATACCATTCCAAATGAGTTTTTCATATTTTTCAGTTAAATTCAAAATTTGTAAAACATTTTTGGAGTCTTGTTCTTCCTTCGCAATGGTCATATACAAAAACAGGTACAATGAGAATCTCCTTCATGGAACTTATTTAGTGATTTCTTATATCCTCCACCATACAGAGTATAGAGGTTATATTAAGTTCGTCCTTTTTTCTTTGTAACTCATCGAAATAATAATTTTAGACCCAACAAAGTATACAGGGTGAGATTAAAAATCCTGCAACAAAGTCAAACGCCATAATTTTTACATTTTTTTTAAATTTCATTAAATGAAAGCAGAAAATGTCGGAAATAGCATCAAATTTTAGAATAATTTTAAATTTGTTTGAATTGGTCACCTTTGACACGAATTAAGGCCTCCAAACGGCCAATGAAACCGTCATACGCTGCCCGAATGTTGCTCTGCGATACTTTGGCCCATTCCTGGCGAAGCGCTTGCTTGAGGTGATCGACACTTTGGTATTTTTTAGTGCCAACCTTGCTTTTCAAAATACTCCAGACATAATAGTCCAACGGATTGGTTTCCCGAGATTTTGGTGGTCATTGTGTGCTGGAAATGAAGCGAGGAACCTCATCTTGTAACCATTCTTGGGTGGCGCGTGGTGAGTCCTGTTGGAATGTCCAAGGTCTGTGGCCAAATTGATTGCGTGCCCAAGGCTTCAATACACCCTCCAGAATATTTTCGCGATTGGACATTTTCGGCATTTATTCTGATGCCACGGTCGATTAATACGAGCGGAGAGCCATAACGACAATGGACTGTTATGGTGGCCCACACAATCACCATGGCCGGCGCTTGAGTTCTGGTGGCCAACCGAGGGTGCAAATTTTCAGCTGACCTCTTTGGCAAGTAAACACGATCATTTTGTTTGTTTACGACCTGCTGACCAACGAATGTTTTGTCATCGGAGGAAACCAAATTCGGCAGTTCACCACTTTCGACCAAGCGAAGCAACTTTTTAGCTCTTTTGAGTCTATTTTCTTTCTGTTGCGGTGTAAGTTCTTGCACTTTTTTGAATTTCAATGGCTTTACCCCGAGCTCATTTTTCAATATTTGCCGAATGAAATATTGCGATATGTTCAGCTCACGAGGCATTTTTCGGCCATTGCGATGCGGATTTCGATCAAGTCGCTTCTTCACTTTTCGAACCATTTTTGCTGAT